GGGTTCAAGTAGATCATAAGGTTGACGAAAACTCGGGGACTGCGCCTACCTGATGAGCCCCAAGAAGGGCGAAACCGGTCGTGGGCTGTCGAAGAGTTTTCAGCAACCTTGTGAGTAGTTTTCTTTAAAAATCAGTTCTTTTTTCCCTGGAGTAATTCCCCCTTTTAATGTGTTTTTACTTTCCAATGTATTTATGATTAACTCTGTGTCCAACCTGCAGCTAACTTTTTTCAACCCTTATATTTTCTCAGCATCCCTGAAAATGCGTACTATATGACCCTGTTTAGGATCAGATAATCCTGAGATTTGAATTTCTAGTTGTACATGGCGCCAGTTCTACTGACATTCATTGAGTAATCACTTTTAGATTTAGGTCCAATCCATAACCTATGAAGATTTTCTCAAATCATCAGCATGAACGGCTGCCGTTCTCAGTATAACCGTTTTCATCAAGGCGTATCTACCAGCAGCGTTTCGCAACTCTTCGAAATGTCTAGACGTAAAACCTTATTAGTAGTGTACTACGTATATACATGTATCGCGATATGTCGAATATCGTACCAAGTGAAACATGAGGCGGCCTGGTGCAGCACATTCAGTTGCCTGAGGACATCACAAACGAGAGATTCAGCTGGGTTCCACGCGAGTCTCCCCCAAAACCTAATTAGTTTGCAAATGAGTGTACTTCGCTAATTTCGTGCAATTCGGCTTCAAGTAGAACATAAGGTTGACGGTACTGCCTCCAACTGATGAGCTCCAAGGAGGGCGAAACCGGTCGTGGGCTGTTGACGGATTTTCAGCAACCTCATCAGTAGTATATTGCGTACACATACATACGTATACATGTGTCGCGATATCTCGAATACTGTATAGACTGAAACCTGAGGCGGCCTGGTGCAGCACATTCTGTTGCATAGAAACATCACAAACGAGAACTTCAGCCGGATTTCAGGAGAGTATCTCGCAAAACCAAATTGGTTAGCGAATGCGGCTGTTTCGCTAATCTCGGGTATATTAATCGAGACAAAAGGCTTTCCTCGAGTGCATTTCGAAACTCAAAGTTATGTTCAATGTACCGATGACCTCATATTAGTCCAGAGTCCTGGAATGAAGAAGTCGAGTGATTCCGACAGCATTAGTAGACTGCAATTACCAGTTGGCATCGTTTCAAGCGGCTGCTTTGAAGATAATGTTATATGAAATAAAAGTTTAGCCCGGACTTATGTGGAATCCAATTGCTCAAAGAACCGTACAAGTCGGGGTGGGCAAACTGCTAAATTACCCACACGAACTTCAGTTGTTCGGCTAACGTGTAGCGGAGCGTCTGTCGATATTTTATGGGTTTTGAGTGTCGTTCCTTATAAGTGTCCTGTTCGGATGCCGTTTTGCTTGACCCAACTCTGATGCCGAATGGGAGAAGCATCAGACATGAGTTTCGCCCTCCCGGGAGATCGCGAATAGTGCATATAGTTGCCCGGAAATCTCATTGTCACTACTCTACCAGCACACGCTGGAGACGACAGAATTGTCAATTCTGAAAAAACAAGCGCGTTCATTCGAGAGGGATGTGATTAGCTTGCTCGACGTCTCGAAAGCTGACCAAAATGATGGCTGCAGCCTCATCTTGCGTGTCAGCTCTTCAGATTCGCTACCCAACGATATGCACTGCTGATGAGTTCTAATAGCGGAAAAAATCGGGGTCCGTTGTTTCGCCCCTTCGGTCTGAATTCACGAGAACCAATGCTCTAGGACAGAAAGGGACTGTTTACCTTGGTGATATGAATGCGAATATTTGTGCCATACTCAACAACTGCGTTCGAGCTTGTATTGAAATGACTTTCACAAAAAATGCAGTTTGTCACAAACATTTATTCTAATAACAATTGTAAGGGCTAGGATCGATTCCACGTGCTTTAATTCACCCTGTCTTCCATGACCAGCCAATCAGAACTAGAGATGTGATTCCGTCAAACGAATAGTTTGGTACTCCGCATCCGTCTGATCGAACTAGGGGTCAGGATGTGACAGCTGGTGTGATCGATCAGCATTGGTTACTCTCGACTGCGAACTACCTAGATCAGTTCCCTGACAGAACTATCCATTCGATGACAGTTTAAGGCAACTTGGTAATTGTCAAATCATCTCACTTCACCATACAACCAATCAATACAAAAAGCTCATTGGATGAATACTTTCACAAGATGAGTGAAACTTCAATTCGAGGTGCCAGTTAATCGGCACGTGACCACGTGATGCAGTTTCTGTGACAGGAGAACAAGTGGTGCAATATCCTATCTACGTGCGAGATAATCAGTGCTAAATAGCCACTCGTGCCTGAACGGTTGAGTGCTCACTCTGCTAGACTAGAGTTCAAGGGTTAGAAGCTCCCTGGAGTTTTTTTAGTTGTCCATGGGTGAGGATTCCTGAAGCAGTTCTACAGCACTTCCTGACAATTTACCAGAGATTTGCTTCACTCACATTGTCCATTACTATTCGGAAGGCGTATGAGGCAGCTGCACATATCTGACAGATCCAACTTCTTACTTTATATGACATCTATGCGATATCACGACATTCGGTCGAAACTATCATGGACAATTTCGATGCTGAATTTGGATTCGTTTGTATCTCGTAAAATGTAATACAAATACGCGTTGAAAATACGTCTAAATATTGACTGCTTGCCTGGGTTTATTGTCGCGATTGTCGTGGTCACTGCGCTCAATGATGGTGTCCCTTAGAACGGAAAACAAATGTTTGCGAGCCAGTCGCCATGTCACAACCTGAGTCAGTTGCATGGTTTTTCTTCCAATATTCCTTTATTCCGCACGGAATCAAATTAATCGGTCGTCTTCTAAATCAAAGAATACCGTGTCAGGTCACCTTTTGTCCCATACCCTCCGTTCTTGTCTTGCGGAGCCAAGAAATTCAACGGAGAACTGTGCTGTTATGAGAAAACGATCAACAAAGCATGTGGATTTAAGTAACCTTTAGACAGATTTGAACGACTGTAATTCTGGAACACAAATCTGTGGCCGTCGGAAAATTTGTATTACGATGATGACAGATGTGATTCTTTTTATCAAGATAGCTGAATTCCGTTCTACAGATATTCTTACCATCAAGAAATCTCTTCCATTTGGTTCACAACGCTTTCGAAGTTCCCCCCACCACCCATTTTCGCGACTTGATTTAAGACAACGAATTTCATTAATAAAATTTTATTCGATGTGGACAGAATGAATGATTCCATAAGGAAACAGTGACTAAGATAACATGTTTTGTCGCTTATCACAAGACAACAATGAAAGAAGAGTTGCAACCAATGACTGAATGTCACAAGCTGATTAAAATTTTTGGCTCGTTTAGCTGAATTGATTAAATTTACAGAAAAAATTGCGGTTAATCGTAATTTCAGAAAACAAAGATGGTGACAACAGAACCGGGCCTGTTCAGTAATGCTGCAGTTATTGGTTTTTTCAAACGAATTCGTACTTTTCGTTTTCGAAAAGGTTTGGTGTCAAAAGGTAGATTTATTGCTCGACAACGTTTCGTTTTTGACACAAAAGCGACATCAGGCCAAGTGACTAGGTCCCGAGGTTGGTCGAGATTTAAGGCTATAAGTACTTTACTAGTTTAAGTCGACGTAGTACTACGTTTTGCCCCGGAACCTTACAATGCTGGAACCAGCAATTTTACAAATTGTGGTATGATCAGATTCATATTATATGCCTGATCGCAACGTTTGCCGACTTCCTGAAACTCCTTCGAAATCAAATAACTGAAGGAAATCAAAAGAACTGGCAGTAGCTTGTCACAGAGGAACCGAGTTATTCGCATGGGATTACAAATGGTAAGAATCGAAAAAAAATCACTGCTTATGTCTACTCAGGAACACGAATGGGAGGCCACCAAGAGGCCAGGTTGGCTTTTTCGCATTCAAAAGTTACCGTTTCGACCGAATAGTCCAACAGTTCCATGCAATATGTAACATGATATTTTCAACTTGTCTGACTGCCGTTTACTCTTTATATGCAGTACGGGGGTAGCAACTAATGATCTGTGACCAAATCGATCAGGAACAAGACATCTTACAACCTTGCTTTACGTGATTTTAGAACAAAATATGATCATTGGTGGCTGAATTCACTTCAAATAGTTGCAGGCGAGTGAAGTTAGCCTAGAGATAAACGTACGGCAACAGCGCATCAAGTACTGCGAATTCCCGAAATGAGATGTAGGATTTCCAACGTCCTGTTCAGTAAGAAATCTGCAAGTCTCGTGAATCGCCTGTTGAAAAGGAGAAAGAAATACGCGCGATTGGACGCTGTGGATGAATTCACGACAAGACTTTACTAGGATATGAAAGATATATCTTATTAAGTCACACTAGGACACAAGGTTCAAGGTCGATACATATGGAAATATTTTTGGTGAAGGTCACTTTGAGGACCAGTATTGATTTGAAGCAAGCTGGGTGATTGCAATGAAACAATCAACTATCATGAAGGTGTCAAGCTCGATTTCGGAGACTGACACCAGTAGAGTTTATTAAGTAAGCTCAAAGGTTTCTAGAAATTTTGTCAAAAATCTGTATTTAAGGTGGTCAAACCTCTACTTCACTGCGATTCAGGTGTCCGTCAATCTTTCGCGCCACGCACCTTTGTGCCCATCTCGGAAACTTAGATTGACCTGACAGGTGTGGGGTTCACGTGACTCACAAACTGATGAGTAACGACTATCGAGGTATACCAGGTGAACGATCTCATCGTGAAGTACCTCGTTTGGGCTAGTTAACAGTGACAATTCAGGAAGACGAAAATTGGCACCTTGATGGAAAAAAGTAGTTTAGTCACATTACGAAAAGTTGAACCAGTGAGTGGCAGTACAAAAAGATAAAATAATGCTTACAAATCAACGAGAGACTCAAATGGGTCTCTCGTTTATGATATTCTATAACTGGACGTGCTGCACACAGGCCGCCTCATGATTCAGTTGGCATGATATTCGAGATATCGCAGTACATTTTCCTAAGGGAAACTACTCACAAGGTTGCTGAAAACTCTTCGACAGCCCACGACCAGTTTCGCCCTTCTTGGGGCTCATCGGGTAGGCGCAGTCCGGGAGTTTCCGCCAACTTTATGTTCTACTTGAACCCGAGTTGGACTGTTTTTCGAGAAATACACTCATTTGCAAATTAATTTGGTTTTCACGAGACACGTCTGGCTTACCGGACAGGCTTGAGAACTAGATTAGACTTCTCAGGTTGCGAATGTGACATTCCAACTAGCTGAAAATACACACGTCTGATAACTTTACCTGTAACTTTTGTAATAAAAAACATCGATTACTGCCTTCAAAACAAGTGGGTACAATGGCCGGAAATGGGGGAAAGTTAACGACTCGTACGTTTGAAAAATCCAATGGAAACGGCTGTAAGTTTCACTGGGCTGAGAAAAACTAATGTAAACAACTGCCAGAAATCGGATCAGCTCTCAAGGGTTCCCCTGATTGAACTAGCCAGGTACTCTTATGGGGACAATGTGAAACCATTTCTTTGCTGCTGTAAGGAACCATCCCAATCGATCGATTTATCGACTATCCGCCTTCAAGTAACCAAATGCGCTGTTTTGTAGAAGGAGACCTCTAGAACATAGGGGGTACGTAATCCTGAATTGCGTGGATTTGAGTGTAAAATATCAATCCAGTTTCCAAAATTATCGGAAACTGCATTCCCCGACTAACAAATCTACAATTAGCCTCAATCGGTTCACCATATCAACCTTGATTGGAAACATGCAACTATTGTCAACGGTGTAAAGCATGTGTACTCCATATTACACAAAAATCACTCATACAATCAGGGGTTTCGTGTGAAACCTCTTGCAACAAAATCTGCTCACTTTCAAACACTCTTGAAACGGAAACACGGATTCCTTCAAAGACAGCAGATGAGAGACTTACTTCCCAGTCGAATCCAACACACGATAGAATGGTCAAACAAACTGGCATGCAATCTTGCGCATTTTCCTTTCGATAAGCCATCATAGCACGGTTCTCGGCAGATGCTGTTTTAAAATCCATTCTCAGCAACCAGCGAACACGTCCATTGGGACAGTTCTTGTGATAGAGATGATCCGGTGGCAGGTCCACACAGCTGTTTGCCACTGACGAGACCAACTCCAGCACCATCAACCCACTGGAAATCAATAAATAGTTGCCAACCAGAATGGTCATTGCATCTGGACACTATGCGAGTGAAACGGTTACACACGTTGGCAGTTTTATAGCCTTGACAGTCCAGGATTTCATTCTCATTGGTTGTCACAATGTCCAGGCAAACACCTGATAGGGTAGTGTTTTAAGGGCAGAATGCTGCTGAATGCCACATTCTCCTACGTAAAGCATCCGTCTCTCCTAGCACCAATTCAAAGCCGTTCACAATCGACTTTTGTCTCATGGTTCGTCTAGAGTCCAGATGCGTTCTATTAATTCGAATGAATTTTCGGTGAAGCACACAACTGTTGTTCGTGAAACATCTGTGAAGTTTTCAAACCTCTGATGAGCTTCAAAAGCACTTGAATGTTATTCTTTATATTAGCTATCGTTTAATATCCAGCGTCTGCCAGTGGGTGTAACGATTCGATATTCGTTCACGGTAACCGGTTTTCTCTATATGAATATCACGTGACCTCCAATCATGTGACCTCATTTTCAACATTCTGTGGTGTCCCAACAAATGTTTAGAACTCTTCTATGGGAAATAAATCCCAATTTGGTTTCTGATTAAAAGTGGGAGACACACCAAGCATAACCTATTTGAATACACACCAGTCATCTTTGATTTTAGAAACCACTCTACGAGAGGCTTTTTGAAAGTTTATTTGCTGAATCTAATAGAATGAGTGGCAGGAAACTATCTGATGATGGACGTTACTCAGAGTGGTCAATCCGGATTCTGGGCGGCCCACAAATAGATTTGTCATGTGATCGTCAGATTGTAAGCAACAATACGGGCTTTATGTCAGTTATCCTTCGTTTTTGCATGGCGCTTGGAGTTTGAAAATGCTTGCGAACTCTTTCACTGCCTTCCTCAAGACGGTCTTTCAAACAATGAGAAGAATGGTGTTTGTCGGATAGCAACCTGAAAACAACGTGCATTTTTCAGATGACCGGCAGTTTCTCAAATAGGGACAGTCTCTAGCGTCATCCGCCAATCTTGCAAGGAGATGGGACTTTCCTGTTTAATCTGTCACAGTGCAGGGGGAGGGAGGGAGTGAACGAAAATGCGCTTAGTGCGTGACTCCTAATATTCTGGCAGCTCATAGTGAGATGAAGATATGTATTCATCCCCAGTTTAAACCACACTTTACCAGCCTCATCATCATCCACTTGATTCCCTAATGGCTTGCGACTAATCAGCTGCTGACTTGTCCCGCTAGTCAACTGCCTACTCATGAGTAGCCAAAATATTTCTCCGCGAATAGCTCGATAATTTACGAACAGTCCTGTAGCACTTTGATCGGATGAACCAGGATACTGGAAAGCTGAGAAGCTCTCGTTTTTCGTGAGACAGCAGCTAAACATCTAGTCGTTATGTTTTCCTTTTCGAAAGCTCTCTGTGTGTTAATCCTTTATCCTCTTTGCGCTTCCTACGATAAATAGGGTGATATTCACACCATCACTGATTTTTTTGAAAGATAAGAACCTGTTTGCATAGTTTGAGGCGGTTTCTTGCTGCCTGGAGCTCTGTTCACACTTACTTCATCTATTCGTCGGTCTGATTTCATCCTGACAGCGTCCGAAAGCTATGTAGATGCAAAGACGCGCTGACAGAACTGAGGATATGACCAGAAAGTAGAATAGCTCCTTTCAAGCTAATTATTCTGCGTCAAAGCTAACTATCATCCTAGTCCTTTTGTCTCACTCTTCAGGTGTAGGGTCGAATGACATGTTCCCTCTAGGCACGACCAGAGGATACACGGCATCTGTCACTGATCTGAACGAACTCATTATCGATTGCGAAGTGAAATATTCTACTCTCATCCGCTTAGAACCAAGCTATATACCAAGAGGTTCAAGGGTCTTGTGGATGAGGAATTTGCCCAAAATCGCTGGTTTTCAGAGAACGAGAAACTACTCAAACAAAGCCAGTAGACTAGATATGGGATCCCAGGTAATGTCGAGATATTCCGTTGCCACCTGTTCCACCGTGGTTTAAATAATCTATTTTTGGAAGGAGATGTAAATTTGCTGGATTATCCACCATGCAAAAGCGCATCTAGCCCTGTCGTCCTTGAAGAGTCCTTCCCGTTTCAAGTTTTACTAAACGCAGCGCATGCGCTACTATTTGACTTTAGAAAGCCCCCTCAAGACCTCGCAGTGATAAACAGCAGTTCGGATCTATGGAGCTGTAGTTTACTTCAAATTCCGTAAATTGCTCTGTCACAGTGATTTAAAGGTTTCATTTATTTGGAAAAAGCGATGCTGGATCGGTTTTATGGAATTCAGTTCCGCACGTATCATATTCTGTTGCTTAAGCCTGCCTGATGGGGGGTGCTTGATTCCCCTTCTGTTCCCCTCTTACAGCTAGTCTACGAACGATAGAGCAGTAATGCATTCATATTGAAAAACAGTTTTAAACGGCTTGTCAAAAAGGGCTGTTCTGTCACCGGTCATATTTATTCCTCACACGGGCTTCCCAACAAAACGGGGTTTGACCATACGCACTCCACGTTACCGGGGGGGGGGGGGGAGAACCACATACCACAATTGCACGACAGCTTAACTCGTCCAAAGCGTTAAGATATTGTTTAAACCCAGGTGTGGTAGATATCTCAAACTGATTTTGCTCACTTTGGCTTCAACAGTTAGTCTAGTAGATGGATGTTTTGTTGTTTTAGGAGCTACGACTTGACGCGACATTTGGGCACGTGGATAAAGCATTCTCGTAACCCATTGCTTGTGTTGTTTGATTTGTTTATGGCTAAGCTTTATTCTCCAAGCACTGTTATCCCAGATATTACACTTGAACACTTTTTCAAACTTATAAAGTGGTTGCTCTCAACAGATTGCTGTCGAATATTTCTTTTATCACTCAGCTTTTATGGACTTCCGAAGAATCATTTCCAGATAAGCTCCGCCACTAATGTAAAAATGTACGAAAAGTTAAGCCCCGCCGCTTTTTGCCAGCTCTAATTTAATGTACGCACACAACCTTGACCTATTTTTGATGGAAACCATTCTTTATCCGCATCTAGGCTCATTTTGTGCAGAAATTTTCTCCGTTCGGACGTAAAACCTTAAATGAACTTTCTGACGCTTTCAACCCCCGTTCATTACAAGGAGACGGTAATACGTCTTTTGCGAAGCTACGGAGTGATCTATCAGCAACGTTTATGCAACAATGACCATGAGATAACACTTTCAAATGTTTCTGACAGGTGGAGGTCTAATGCCCGGCAGTGTCGACAAGAAATTGGTCTTCGGAAGGGAACTTGGTTGGAGTGATCTAGGATGGAGTTTAGGGCAGTAATCCTATTCATTTATTGCTGGTCCAAAAATTTGTGGGCATCATACCAAGGAATTGGAACGATTACTGACATGAAGTATACTCATGAAAGGGTTAATCCTACCGAAAACTTTGTGGATCCAACGACTGGAGCTCACACACAAACCATCGAATCTCTTTGGCATGTCTACAAAATGCAGAATAAACGCCAATGCGGCACACACTGATCTTTAGTGAACAGCTACTTGTGTGAGTTCGTTTGGAGGCAGAGTTACCGAAAAACGGACTTTTTCATGCAAATTATTAATGACCTGTCCCAAGTTCACCCTATCCAATAAAAACCAAAAGTACATACCCTCTTTTTTCTAATCTTTTTTTGGGTGACGGGGCTTATCTGGAAAAGATTCCTTCCGATCACATTGCCTTTAGTTTCTGATTAACACGCTAACCAAAGAACATAGGAGTGCACAAGCGATTCTGTTTAAAAGAACCCTACGTGAGTTTCTGACCAGTCAGTTTCCTTGTCAAACATCTGTTTAGCACTGAAGTGCGTTTATATGCAAGATCACGTGCTCCACTGTTCACCTCAGAGATGGCGATTACAGCGGAATTCTCGGGTGCTTCTTCGCTTTTTCACTTTTCTTTCATGCCATGAAACCAAACTTGATCTTTTAAACTCCGGTTTGGACACATTTACAATCTCGCGTAGGCTCGATCTTTTTGGACGGACAGTCCCAGGAAAACCATACTTTGCGGGTCTGTACAAAATCGGAGCAGCCAGAACGGTTCTCCTGTTGTCCAACTCGCTCGTTGAAATTCCTTATTGCATTTGTACGGCGCAGTATTGCATGTTGAGCCATCGATGGCGTTCTCCGTTCTGATATGTGGATTTGTTAGACCGTGACCAAAATCTCCTGCGATTCGGACATGATATTGCATACGTGTAAGTGTGTCAATCTTCAGAACGCACTGAGTGTTAGCTGGTAGTTGATTGGTTATACCGGCAGACCATCAGAACTGTGTGACGACTCAGCGACGAGCGCGGACAGGCAGTCGCATTTGTCCAGGCTGATATGAACGGACCAATCAAACGATCGATAGGCTTCGCTTGCCTCCTGGCAAGGTCAAGTAAGGGCGGCGGACAGTCAGTTGCCCCCAAGGTTCTAGAAAAATGGAACGTTTCGCGCAATGCGCAGGCGTTTTCGGTAGCATGAGTCAAACAATCCTGTCGAATGCAGTTCAAGTTTGACCGTTGTTTGAACTGTAGCATATATTACCAACAAACTTAGATGTTTCATTTTCGAAAAATGGCAACTGTCATGCAATTCCAGTGGAAAAATTTAAGCTGTTCGAGAATACCCCAACAACGGTCCACCAGCTTCAAGGAATAATTTAAAATCGACAAGAGACAAACATTTGACCAATGTCCGATAAACGGTTGATTCTTTCCACTGACTAATGATGAGATCTTTGGAATGCAAATTCATTAGATGATGCGAAATGTGAAGAGCCGAGCGGCGGTAGTAATTTCTCGTACGCCATCCTATGTCTTCTTTTTTTTACGTAAAATCCTGCCACACTTAGACGACCAAAACATTAAACACGAGGTTTAGATTGACCGAGCATTCCACGCAAAATTGTCGAGCAGCACTGCAATCCCTGTGGATGACATTCAGCGAGTTGTCTGAATTGGAGACTCCCATTGTAGATCAGTCATTCGATTTTCAAGGTCATGAGCTTGAACAGCAAATCGTGAAACACTGGTGTCACCAAAATGCAGTGATACTACCTCATCGAGGGAGAGTTTGGAAAACAGTTTACAGTTCAACTGCCATATTTTCAATAGGTGCCTCGAAAACACTCCTTCGTTGAACTGTTTCCACTACCTTTCCAGAGCTGTCAGCGACTCACTTCTGATGACGCCTAAAAGTTTATTTCGAGTGTGGAACACGACCACAAGTTGGATGGCTCAGTTGGGTGCCGAACATTCCGCTTTAAAGTAGAACATCCCCTTGTCGCCTACTCATGACAACATTGGGAAGTCCTAACTTCAACTCTCATCGCAGGTATGCTATTTTCATCCCAAAATGATTCATCATGGCCCACACATAAACTACTGATGATGAGAACTTTGCTTAGTTTGCAGTGTCGTTATCGTACAGACATTCGACAGCGGCCCAATGTCCATAAAGACCAATTTCTGATTGCAAAATCCAATATCTCAAACTATAAACAGCGCTTTCTGAAAAATGCAGACATGAGTATAGTCTTTGTAATGACAATGAGCATTTGAATTTGTTCAAAGTGTACTTATTACCCACCCTCACATTCAGGTAAGAGCACTTGGCTACATGCCAACCAATATGCAGGACGAACCCACAAGTCGTGAAAACACCTGTCAAAACAGATATGGCAGACTGGTCGGGTGAGAATCAGGCCAAGGATATGGGCAGCGGCGTGTGGCCATTTGATCCAGATCAAACCACAAACTTGTTTAGTTTTAATGCACTTTTCTGTGGCTGTAGTCACCTTTGCTGCTAGCATAGTTGGTCCCGTTCTAAGGATTTAAACGGCACTCAGTTGAATTACATAGCCTCCAAATGCGTTTGTAAATATATTTGTAATGCACTACTCATAAGGTTGCTGAAAATCCGTCGACAGTCCTCGACCGGTTTCAAGTAGAACATAAGGTTGACGGAAACTCGATGTTTGCGCCTACCTGATGAGCCCCAAGAGGGGCGAAACTGGTCGTGTGCTGTCGACGGATTTTCAGCAACCCTATGAGTAGTACATCACAAAGTAACATTATATTTATCTCCTTGAAAATATCTCCCTCCTGTGTAGATACACGAATATTGTGAGTTAGGTCAAAATTAGCACGGTGCTGCACATTCAATTGCCTGGAAAAATCACAAACGAGAGATTCAACTGGGTTCCAGATGAATCTCTCGCAAAACCAAATTAGTTTGAAAATGAATGTATATTCGTCAGTGCCTCCTCGTTTCTGGATCGCTTAAGCTGCGCACCGGCCAGCCTTCATTTTAACTAAATGAGTTTTCGGAATTTGCTGTTTTGGAACCAATTTCTCAACTTAGAATTACGAAACTTTGAAACAGTTCCTGAATCTTATTTCTTGCCAGGAAGAACCTTCTGTGGTCAGTTTCCGTAGATCACAAAATAGTTTTACTTCGAGACGATTCGATTGTGGATCAAGTCAGTACGAAAGTGAATGCTGGATAAATTTGCGAAAGCTGTTCGCTTTGTCCGTGTTTAGGAAATGATCTGTCCTGAGAAACTTTACAAATAGGGTGTTACATCAAACTTCCCAAAAAATCGCTCTTGATCACGTGATTGCGTGGGCCTTTGTAGTCACAGACGAGAGTAACGCACTGATTGGCTCATTCACGATCCACTGACCAGCAAGACTCTGCTGTCTACTGCGTTCGTGTTTTTTCATGCTTAATCTGATCCGCTAATAAGCAATCTGTTCTCTTCGTGTTGCGGGGCATAATAACCCAACTGACTTGTCACTACTGATGGATTACACATCATCTCACTGACCTACCAATTGGAGTAAATACCTATGTGTGATTTTGTGCATCGCACATTTCAGAAACTCTCGATTCTTCAAGAAAACCTCAGGCCAGTCGCATTCGCCTTTCTTTTCTCGTTCAACTCAAGTTTCCACACTGCTTTTGATGAGCCTAATTCTACCAATAAAATCATTTTCATCTGTACTTATTCAAAATCGACCCTGAGCACTTTCACTTGGTCCAACCCACTGACCAAATGCACTGAATACGTTAATCCTTTAGATACATGTTGTAGTGAAACGTTTACACCGTGCAATAAGGCAAATCAAACGCTCTGTACTGAAATAAACAATAGTGAAGTAGACAAATGTCTAGTAAACCAAATAGCTCATGACACTATGTAGGGGATCTATTTTTTATAAAAGAAATCGCCTGTAAAAACCCCACCCACTTTTAGAACAATGACGCCGCTACTAGGGTAGCTTTACTTCAAGAGAATAAGATACAACATACTGAATAACTAATAAAATATGTTACCATTGCAGCTGTGATCTGTGCTCCCTCTGATGCCGATATATTCAAGCGAGATTTCGTCCATTCAGTGAAGCCAATCTAAGCTGAGGAGCCGAGAAGCACAGTACAGCTACTTTGTCCTTACTGGGAATCATCAACAGTGCGCATCTGAAGAAACTCAGAGAGTGTCGAACCTGCGGCCTGTCGGCTAGCGGTTGAAGACCTCACCGTTTGGCCACGAGCGGTGGATCAGCACCATAAATAACTCACTTTGGTAAGCTTAAAAAAAACGGTTCGTTTGGAATTCTTGATCTTACAGTATGGAACAAAGCCACAGCGTTTCACGCAACATCGCTGGTTAGAATGTTGGACCAGTTTGTCCTGAAAAAAAAACAAGAGCAACTTTAAAGTGGTTTCTTTATTTTCATAAATGAAACTACTCACAAGGTTGCTGAAAACTGTTCGACAGCCCACGACCGGTTTCGTTTCTCTTGGTGCTCATCAGGTGGGCGCACTCCCCGAGTTTCCGTCAACCTTATGTTCTTTTTTATTCGCAGTGATCAGCAGTGCACATCTCAAAAGACTCCATGGA